AAAGACAATATTCTATTTCCTAAAATATCGCCAACCAGAAGATCTTCTTTGCTTCACACCCAAGCAATATCTTCTATTTCCATAAGTTTACGCCACGTCATTACACGTACCAAACTTATTGCACTGTGTTACACAATCATCGCACTGTGTAACACACTCTCATCTTAACCGGAACAAGCTCACAAACCTTGAGCTTACAGAAGCATGGCTCCAACGGATTTCATTGGATTAATCCGTACCGCCGCATTTTGACATGGCAGGTGCTGTTTCTGCTCGATATCAAAGGTCTCGTTCTCGTCTGGCGTGACTACCACGGCGATGTCTCCTACTCTTCACTAAGCTCATCGAGATCCTGGAAATAGTGATTCGCCTACTGGATTTGAAACCTTTCGAATCAGTGAACACAGGTTGATCATCGATTACAATAAGCTAGCTAGATTCTTTTCTGTTTTCATCTGTGAGATTATCGTTACTTGAAACTGATATAACTCTAGGATAATGATTTACTGTTCTGTTCGTCTCTGATAATGATTCTCTGTGATCAGATGCCACAAGTTCCTCTAATATTCATGCTCTATTTTCCAAACGGGAAGTATATATATATATATATATATATATATATATATATATATATGTATTGAAAAATTTGAATCACTGTTTAAATGGTTTCGATTCTGAATCAACTTTGTGAATAAAAATCAAAGTCTCATTTTCTCAATATGTTATTAAATTGGTCAGGGTGATAATGATCCACGTTCTTACCATAATGGAGTGACTTACATGTTTGTAACGTTTACCTTATGATAGCCTCCAGAGAGAATGCTAGTCTTCTCTTCTTTCTTCAACGCGTAGTCGATCTAAGTAATGGCTCGTAGTTCCTTCAGATTCTAAGGGACATAAGATTGAAATCGTGATCTCCTACGACCTCTTATGGCTGTCACAAATGCTGTCTCCTGGAGGAGTGGAGGAAACAGTACAAGAAGAACGAACTAAGTGCTTATGTTTTACAAGAAAAGAACCTTTGTTTGGGTTTTTTTTAGCAAATGATGACATGCTGCTTTTGTATCTCCATGTTTTAATCTTGGATGTAACTGAAAATAAATGTAAATATACTTGTCAGCAGTAATGGACAAATCCTTAGGTCTGATGTTGTTGGAGCACTGAAGATGCGAACTTACTTGACTTATGTCATCACATCAAAGCGTGTTAAATTTCAAAGATCTTTTGCTGTGATCTTTTTGTGTTTGTTTGACTCTTTTGCTCTTTGATCCATTTTCTGACAGTGTAAGTTAGTATTGAATGATAGAGTATTGCTGGAAGCTCAAGACAAATCAACAAAGGGAAAAGCCATTGATTTATATACTCGAGTTTTATGTACTCGTTTCTTCAAACGCAGTTGTGTTCGATTGCCTTCGTTTAAAAAAAATGATAGGACGGTACATTTCATACCACCTGATGGGGCTTTTGATGTGGTGACATATGATATAGACTCAGTACTCAGGTTAGTCATGTGGAATATAAGCATGGATGAGAATATTTCATCGTCTTCAACAGATATCTCATGATGTGTGTCTTTAATATATATATTCCTTGTTCCGGTAAAGCCTCTTATATGGGTGGAAGCACAAAATAGAAAGGCATTGTAAACAATCGTGTTGAAATGCTCATAAAAGCGAGAAGTCAGTTCAAGAAAGAAACTTAGATATCTTCCATTGTTCCTTTATTTCACTGTAATTCACATATCATGATGGTCAGATTTTTTGAATATATGATTGAGAACTTTCTATTTGCAGCACGGCAACGTATGTTGTGATTGAAGTGCATGTACCTATGGATGCATCACACCTCAGAGTTAGGACATCTCTAGGGTCTGCCGCTTATGCTCCTGAACAAGATGCATTGGTCTGGAAAATCAAATCTTTCCCCGGGAACAATCAGCCACTGTAGTATGAAGGCTACCCTCCATAAAAACAACATAGGAGTAACATGTAAGGGCAGAGTTCCATCTTCCAAGTATAACTCCAGAGGAAGCAACACCTGAGCGACAAGCTCCCATCCGTGTCAAGTTCGAGAGCCCTTACTTCACTGTGTCAGTTTTCAGACTAGTTCAACTAAGAGAGATTTAGTGAATTAATTATCCATATTTGGATCTGATATTAGTGATCTAACCATGATTTGACATAAATGTAAAAATTTATACACATTAGGTTTTGTTGGACGATTTTGTTATTCTCACATTTTATTTCCCTAGACGATCTCTCTCTTTCCTACAATTATTTTCTTCCCTTCTCTCATACATTCTCTTTCTTCTTTAAACCACATATTTTTTACACACGTCTTTTTCACATTCATCTCTTTTTTATACTATCTTTTTTTCTTGAATTTTTTTCTCATCTATAATTTTTATGTGTAAATCATTTTTTTCAGCATAAAGCTATAGTAGTATGCTTATAAAAAAATGAAAAAACTGATGAATACTTTTTCTGAGTTTATGATGAATTATATTATAACTCATCAATAATTTGATCACCTAACATGTTACAAAATATGTTAAAGAGTTAACAAATTTTGTGACATGATACCAAATTACCTAACCAGTTACAAAATATGTTGGCGAGTTAACAAATTTTATAACATGATACAAGAATTGTTAACATTAAAATAAGATTAACTATAGTCTCGCCAACATGATACAAAATTTGTTAACATTAAAATATTATCATTTTTTTCTGGGTTTATGATGAACTACATTATAATTCATCAATAATCTGACTACCAAACATGTTAGAAAATATGTTAGCAAGTTAACAAATTTTGTAACATGATACAAAATTTGTTAACATGTTACAAAATATGATAGCGAGTTAACAAATATTGTATCAAATAAATAATGAAAATTAAAATTTAATTGTATGTAGGATAATATATATTTGTATAATAATTAGAGATTTGAGTTATAAACATCACATATGTTCTTGGGGAGAAGAAAAAAAAAATAAGAAGAGAAAATGGCGAAAAGTATGAGAGAGGATGAGAGAGTGAGAGCTAGTAGAAAATACGTAGGAGAGAGAAGAGATGGCTGACACACCCACATGAATGTGCAGAATGATAAAATGGTCATGAAAGTATTTATGTCAAATCAAGTGTAAGTGGTTAATTAAGACCTCTCATATGAACACTTTCGCCAATTATCTCTTCAATTAAAACTATGATCGCAAAAATGATTCTAATAAATTAAAATGTCAAGTTTCAAGTTTTTGGGCTGGTTTATTGTAAATGGGTTTAAACTCAAAATATCTAAAGTTTCAAATGAGTTTAACCCCAAAAGCTCAGTTTTGGGACTTATATAACTAAACTCAAACCTAATTTATAAGGCTGGGTGGGTCGGTTTCGGACTTCTGCTCTAATTGATCTTTAAGGCAAATCTCGTCTTTTTTTCCATAGTAGAAACATTAACACAATATAAATAGAAAATAAATACTCCCTCCGTTTTTATTGTAAAATGTTTTGGTATAGAACACGTAGATTAAGACATTTATATTCCTTTGAAAATACTTTTAAATATATAATTTTATAACCATTCAACCAATTATAATAAAAACTATAAAATTTTATTGGTTAAACATTTTCCAATAAAGTTAAAGTTAACCTTAAAACTTTCAAAATATACGTTAAAATCGCAAAATATCTTATATTTTAAAACAGTTTATACTATCTAAAACATCATATAAAAAGAAACGGAGGGAATATGATTATATACTATGCTATATAAATTATATTAGTTTATTCAAAAAAATTCTTAAAAAAATTCATAAGTTGACTCGAAAATGAATCACAAGCATTTTTATAACAAATATATGTTCATAAACATGAACAGATCCACCCTTAAGAGTGGCCCAGAGATATACATCATTGTTTAGTTACCAAACTCTATTGGGCCGACGGTTGTTAATATCATTCTCTATTTACTGCGTTCTTTTTCTTGGAAAAATTAAGACCCGTTCTCGTGTTTGCTCTCTCTTTGTACCGTAACTAAGATTCTCTCTTGAATTCGCATACTTTACAGTATTCAATAGTTTATGTTCTTCAATTTTTTAGGTTTTCAATCAATGATATGTTTTCATTCAATCGTTATCTTCTTGTTTTTCAATCAATCAATTTGTTCCTTCTTTTTTTTTTCTGGAGTTTTCAATCAATATCCATGTTCTTTTTTTCAGTCAATCGATTTAATACTTTTATGTGTTTAATCAATCGCTATGTTTCTTTTTCCTCGACATGTAGGTGTACCAATTTATTGACCTCCCTAGCAGTAGAGGATCCACCAAGCTGTAAACTACTGAAAGGTACCAGCAGAGAATCCACCAAGCTGTAAGTTCAAAACGATGTCGGTCTGGGGAGGTTGATAAATTGGCACACCACCATGTTAAGGAAACTGACTTTTCAAGAAAAATGAGGATCAACATAACTCTGCTCAGTGATTAGAATGTTAATAACAGTAATAGAACAATAGTCAGCCCTTATTGTGCACAAAAAAAAAGAAAAATAGTTAGCCAAAGCAGTAAAAAAAATACTTCTTGGAAGATTTCTTGAAACACAAAACACAAAACACAATTTCCATTTACTGCATCTGGCGATTAAGATTACACAAAAATAAATGGCTCATATACATAATTATAAGACCCATTTCAGAAACAAATTCAATTAAAATTTGATACTATTAGCAAAATATAGTAAGCACTAAACAGAGGAGAAAACCTATATAACCTTGAACTTTCAAACCAAACCCAAATAAATCTCACAATTTCATTTGCAACATTTTATACCTCAATTTTGAAATATATCTCTTTTAAACCAAAGTTTTTGTTGGCTATGCCATTTTTCTACCACAAAATTCAATCATTAACTCGATTTATTGGTTCAGGCTTGTGCATCCAAAACAGCTTAGTCAATAAAATATGAAACTAAAATAAATAATTTTTGAAATTTGAAGAGTAGATTTTAATTGAGGTTAGATATCCAAAAATATGTTAGAGAGATCTAACTGCAAAGTTTTTATAAGTACCAAGAAGTAGCAAAAGTAAAAGATCTTCATGGATCCCCATAAACTATTAGTCGGTAGAAATCAAACACCAAAAGCTCCAAAAATATGTCACCTACATACAAACTCTGTAATAAATGTTTCTTCTAATACTACATCTTACATCAGTTATTTTAACCTTTATTTGACCATTTATCATGTTTGGACATACTGATTTTATGATTCAACACAATGTAGTTATTTTAATATATGGACATTAAGCACCCGTAGAAGGTCAAGTCAACTTATTTCCAAAAAAAAAAGGTCAAGTCAGCTCACTGAGTACTATGTTGAAAGTTCTGAAACAGAATTGAAAGTATTTTGGTTGAGCATGGGGCTGAAAAGGAAGCCTAGAATCTTCAGTAGCCACCAAATTGCCTATTTTAACCGAAAAAGTCATTAGTCAGTGTTTATTGTAGTTGTGATTCATATACAAAGATGATCAATATAAGAATATATCAAGTGACTGGAAAAATGTTTTCCTTAAAAAAAGAACTAACACAACACAAATATCTGGTTTTCTGCAAATATAATCATATCAGAAAATTGAAGTTTCAGGTTAAAAAAAACAAGAGCCATAGCCACTGCCCATAAGCATACAATTTCCTAAATAAAATAAAAAGAAAAAATGACTCCCCAAATGGGTTATCAATCAATTGTTTCATTTCAATCACCATGCTCTATTTGCAGTCAATCGATTTAATACTTTTGTGTGTTTAATCAATCACTATGTTTCCTTTTCCTCAACATGTATGTGTACCAATTTATTGACCTCCCTAGCCTGACATCAATTTGAACTTGGACCTTGCTGGACTGTTACTAGGCTCACCTCGTCTTGGACCAGCAGAGGGACTAAGAAAAAGCAGAGGGTCCACCAAGTTGTAAGTTCAAACTGATGTCAGTCTTGGGAGGTTGATAAATTGGCACACCACCATGTTGAGGAAAGTGACTTGTCAAGAAACATCAGGATGAACATAACTCTGCTCAGTGGTTAGAATGTTAATAACAGTAATAGAACAATAATCAGCCTTTATTGTGCAAAAAAAAAAAGAACAATAGTTAGCCAAATCAGTAAAACAATAGTCAGAACTTGGGAGATTTCTTGAAACACAAAAACAAAATATCCATTTACAGCGTCTGACGATTAAGATTAGACAAAAATAAATGTCTCATATACATAATTATAATACCCATTTCAAAAAAAAATTCAATTAAAATTTTATACTATTAGTAAAATACAGTAAATACTAAACAAAAGCGAAAACCTATATAACCTTGAACTTTCAAACCAAACCCAAATAAATCCCACAATTTCATTTGCAACATTTTTATACCTCAATTTTGAAATATATCTCTTAACCAAAGTTTTTGTTGGCTAAACATTTTTTCTACCACAAAAGTCAATTGTTGACTCGATTTATCAGTTCAGGATTGTGCATCCAAAACAGCTTAGTCACAAAATATGAAACTAAAATGGATAAATTTTGAAAATGGAAGAGTGGATTTTAATTGAATGTTAGATATCCGAAACCATGTTAGAGAGATCTAAGTGCAAAGTTTTTATGAGTACCAGGAAGTAGCAAAATTAAAAGACCTTCATGGATCCCCATAAAATGTTAGTCGGTAGAAATCAAACACCAAAAGATCCAAAAATATGTCACCTACATACAACCTTTGTAATACATGTTTCTTCAAACACTACACCTTACATCGGTTATTTTAACCTTTATTTGACCATTTATTATGTTTGGACTTACTGGTTTTATGATTCAACATTGTGTAGTTACTTTAAGACACGGACATTAACCACGCGTAGAAATTCAAGTCAACTTATTATCCAAAAAAAGAGCTCAAGTCAGCTCACTGAGTACTACGTTGAAAGTTCTGAAACAGAATTGAAAGTTTGAAAAGTATTTTGGTTGAGCATGGGGCTGAAACCGAAGCCTAGAATCTGCAGTAGCCACCAAATTGCCTATTTTAACAGGAATAGTCATTAGTCAGTGTTTATTACTAGTTGTGATTCATATACAAGTACCTACATATATGCTCATGCACGGTTGTCATATATTATTCAAAATCATTAATTGTCATTAAAAAAATAATGGAATATACTACCAAATAATTGCATAGTTAGTTTAATAAAAAATATACTATATATTGAGATGGATCAACTTATTTTTCTAAAGATTATAAGAATTAACATAGTGATGACACAATATGTTGTAATGCTCCAGAATTAATATATAAGGGATTTGATGTTTGAATTAAAATCTTCAAAAACATAAATAATAACTTATTATGCTGGTTTTTGAATTAATAAAACACAAACAAATAATTATCCGTAACAAAATTATGTCTGCATGTGCCGGCAACACATCTAATTTTATATATACATCAAATATTTCAATATTTATTTTAAATTATCTACAACATATAATTTACTTACAACACTTTAAATTACAGTAAAAGTCACTGCATAAAAAGTCTACAGTGATCATTTTACAGTTACAACCAATTAACATACAACTAAATTCTACATGTAAATTTTTATAGCCACAGTCGAACCAATCATCCCTGATTTTTTTTAACAATTATTTTATTTAAATAAAATTTAAAGTTACAATAAAAATATAGAAAATACAGAACAATCATTTGTAAAGATAAGAGAAAACATTACACCACAAAGATTAAAATCTGAAGAACCTTTCTTCTGATCCATCGTGTTTCTTATTATGCAACATATTTGATTATCTTCTTTTTGAAGATATTCCAAATTATTTTTTGAAAATTTATTTGTTGTATAACATTGGTCAGATTCCAAATAGGGTTTAATATATATTCTTTGAAAAAAAAATCCAATATGTTGATTGTCTCAAAAGAAATAGAAACTTGAATTGCCAGTTTTTAATGATTCTAATAACACCGTCACACAAAAAGAAATTCCATCTCCAGTGAAGAACCACCTATAAATATTTTGAATTGTAATCTTCATAAATTTTAAATACCTTTGTGGTTGCATCAATTTAATACCCATACCCATAAGTTTCCATGGTATTTGATTCCAAAGTAAAACAGTTATAATACGTTCTGTACCACTTGCAACATCATTGGATTGGATTCCTTGTCATCGATCGTAGTCACGGAGACTAAACCGGAGATTGTAATGGTGGATTGGAAAAAAAAAGAAAATTTAACTATTAATCCACCATGGACAAACTATTTTCAATGGAAGAGAAGTATAAAAGATTAGATTTGAGTAGTTGATAAAAAAATTCATAAACTTAAGTTTATTCGGTTAAATCCGCCTATGATTTGCTACGTAAGAATAAACTATGATGCTCACACACTCAGGCTGATCAATTGACTATCACTGCTTCACAAAACACTATGCAAAGTGTTCGGGTTTCAGGAAAGATGAAACACTTCATGTGGCAGGTGTTCACATGATGTATTGCGATGAAATAAAAACTTGACTTTAGATATCAATAGGAACTATCTAGATGTGATAACCTAGAGGAAACTATAAATCATCTCCCTTTTAATGTCCCTTTACATTCTACGTTTAGACTATATCGTACTATTCGTTCTTTTTAATTCTGTTGACCAAAACGTGAACTTCCTTTTTCAAAAGAAAAAAATGTGGCATGTTCAGAACGACTTACTGACACTTTCTCTTGGGTCTTCCTGGTATATTTTGAAGGTAAGGAACAAGTGTTTAATAGAAATTATATCTATCTTTTTGATACCCTCCAACTAGCCTTGTTCGAAACAAAGTGTTGTAGAAAAGCTAACTTTCGAGAAGACAGAGAGGAAACGAAACGGATACTCGGAAACAGATACGTGGAAATGAAACGTTTTGAAATGTGGAAACATGATTTAAAAAAAAAAAGAAATGGAAACGTTTTAGAAACGTCTATAATATATATATATATATATATATATATATATATATATATATTTGATTAGTTAGCATGTAAGATTAATTTATTTTTTTGTTTAATTTATCTAAGAGAGAAAATCAAATAATAAAATTGTTATTTTTTGGTACATTTTATAAAAAATTTAATCAATAATTAGAAAATTAACACATATTATCATTCGATAAAACTATAGAACCGACTTGAGACCACATTAAATCATTATACCTAAATGAAAACAATTATCGAACAATAATATTAATATATAAATTAATTAACTTGTAATCACTAACATAAAATGGCAAATTTTTATTCTTTCGCGTTTCCAAATTAGAATCGCGAGTTTTCAAATAAAAAACGCAAGTTTCCATCCTGTTTCCAAAATGAATTTTCAAGAAATGTATTTCCAAAGAGTTTCTTCAAGTTTCCAAGAGATTCAAATTCTAAAACGTTTCTGAAACAAGAAATTGACCTCGACCGGAGTTTCCATGCAACTAGCTGAGTACTACGTTAAAAGTTCTGAAACAGAATTGAAAGTTTGAAAAGTATTTTGGTTGAGCATGGGGCTGAAAAGGAAGCCTAGAATCTTCACTAGCCACCAAATTGCCTATTTTAACCGAAATAGTCATTAGTCAGTGTTTATTGCTAGTTGTGATTCATATACAAAGATGATCAATCTAAGAATATATCAAATGACTGGACACATGTTTTCTTTAAAAAAAGAACTAACACAACGCAAATATGTGGTTTTCTGAAAATATAATCATAAAAGGAAATTGAAGTTTCAGGTTACAAAAATACAAGAGCTAGCCATAGCCATTGGCAAACCCATAAGCAACAATTTCATAAATAAATAAAAATAAAAAATGACTCCCCAAATAGCCCAAATGGGTCGTCGATCAATTGTTTCATTTCAATGGGTCATATGTGACTCCTAATGAGAATGAACAAAGCAATTGATTTAGGCAACTCCAGCCACTAGCCATCAATGGATAAACTTCCTTGGAACAAACATAGGACTCTCTACGTGACCCAGGAATAATTTCCGACCAATATACTTAGTATCACCTCTGCTGTCGAGGTCAACTCTTCTAGCCTTGTCTTCTTTGGGATCGTAATAGAGAATTGAAAAGTGGTCACCATAATATAATTGTTCAAATATTAGCTCTCCCGTTTCAATAGTACCCCTGCAACGGAAGAAGTCACAAATAGGAGCAATGACAGAATATTTCGACCACTCATGTTTTTTGACATCCATTAGAATCCACAGATCGAATTTACGTTCTGAAACATTGACTAAGGCTAGCTTTCCGTTGTAGCTCACTAAATCAGACTCAACACATGATAAGATTCGAACATCCTTAGGTAATGTAATAATACTAAACTCTTCAAATCTCAAATCAAAGGCCACTAGTACAGATGTTCTGTCAGTAATGTTGCACCACGCTCCATAATAAACAACCCCATTGTGGCATATACCTTGTGTTCCAGGGTAATACGGATACTTACATTCGATCATTCTCCATGATTCTTGATCTCCTCCTAAAGTGAAAACTTGAGACCTTTCACTTACCGATGAATCATATAAATGAATGAACTTCATCGAAAGGACTTTATATAGATCATTAACTGGATCGTATCCAAAAAAGATTTTTGAACAGTCGACATCAGGTAAAGTTAGGGACTGGCCCGTGCTAGGGTTGCCAATAAGGACGGAGTAATGATCTCTAGAACAGATCAAGCCACGGACTGGTGGAGAAACTTGAATCCCTGGAAGGGTAATACTATCATCAACGAGATCACTCGTGAGAGAAGAAAAGTGAGAACGCCGCGTATCAGAACAGTAGCGATAGAGAAGAAGACGTGACCGTGTGGAAGATTGAGTAAGGTACAAGTCAGTGAAATATTTACCGTGGATTATGGATAACCAAAGTTTTGACACAAAGCTGAGCCTTGCCAACGATTTCGGAGGCAGCCTCATAAGAATCTCTATCATCAAATCCACAGGGAGAGAAAGAGACTCTCTATCATCTCGTTGCTTTGACCTCATGATTTGTCCCCAGCTGCTTCCTCCTTGATGTTTTTTTTTATACCTAATTCAAGTCTGTTATCTTAAATAAAACTAGATTTTTGACCCGTGCTTAAAAAGGGCGGGTACCATTTTTTGTTGTTTTATCTACAGAGTTTTTGTTTTGATGATATAAAATGTCAATATCTAATATAATTTTAAAAAATTAATGCAGATTTTAAGTTATTGTTATCATCAATATCCATACAAATTTACTATATGTAACTGTGTAGTTTTATTTTGGAAAAATAATATCAATTAACTACGCTTGGTGCTGGGAAGCGAGTCAAACTCGCCCCCGCCCGTCCCACCCAACCCGCTTGGCACGCCTGACCCGCCAAGAAAATATATTTTATCCGCATCCGTCCAACTTAATTTTGTGGCTAAAGTGCGAGACCCATGGATAATTATTAAATAATAAAATATTTATTTTAAAAATTTTCTAAAAAATAATATTAAATAGTTTATTTTTAATTAAATTTTTAATATTTTACAAAATATAATTATTTTTAATGAAATTTAGTATAATTTTGAAAAATAAACTTAAAAATAAAATTATTTTTGAGGATAACTGATACCCGCAATTGAAATTGGAACAATCCGCATCTATCCCGCGTAAAATACATTAGACCGCGCCCGCAATTTAAATTATTCAAATAAATCGACCTGATTCATGGCGGGTTAACCCGCGGGATAATATCAAAATTTCTAGCTCTAACTATGTCAATTAAGGCTGATGTGTTTATTTTTTAAAGAAACTTCATAAGTAATTAGAAAGTGAATTTAACCCATTAATAAAACCCATTATTATATTGTTTTTAAATCCAAAAACCAAAAGACTATTGTCATTAATGAAAATAAAAATTTGTTCATATCATTAAGGGTATAATTTGAAAACACAAAAAATCATTAAACATAATGTTTCTGTTTTAATGGTATTGTCTAGAATCAGATCCTATTTTGATTTAAAAAACTGTACATATATATATATATATATCTTTGAGAAGTCAGATTCTATGTGTCGTTCTCACGTTCACTCTATGATAGTTGATTACACTGATAACCTTAATGAATTAAATAGTTAAAATATTATTATTAATTCTTTTATTTAGCTTCCTTTTAAAACAATTCCAAAAATATATGTTAATAAAAAAGAATTTTTTTTATAAAATCATAAAAAACAAATTGAAAATGAAGAATATATGTATATATAATATGATTTCATAAACATAGTTTATACTTCGTAATATTGAACATTTTATTTACTTTTCATATATTTAGTTGACTATAATATCTTTGAGTTACATAAAATTATCTATACATTATATTTTACTTGTATAATATTAATTTCGAACACAATCACAATTTTGTGTAGTGCTTATTTTTAAGAGATATTAAAAACTAAGAAAATTAACAATAAACATCGCTTGATCAAATAATTAATAATTAGTTTAATAAGCTAGATATATGATATTTTATCATTATTAAAATTATTTGATTTCTTAATATTAAATTTTCTTTTAAATTTTATGTTTTTATGTTTGTGAAACTAAATATAACCATAATCAAAATACCAAGGCAAATCTGAATTCCAAATTTTAAGATTATTTAAAATAAATTTCAGTTTACATTCAATAAATCTAAAGCGTAAAGTTATTTAAAATTTATAAATATTTTAATTATTGTGAATATTGATATGTGTTCATGATCTTCCAAAAATATATCAACTACTTATGCATGTAACCTTCTATTTATCATAAGATCATCATATTAACAAATGAAAATAAATATTAACCAACTCTTACAATTTTAGTTCTTTTTAAAAATTTATATATATGCATGAGACTTTAGAATATTATTGTTATATTAATTTATGTATTTTGGAATCAGACACTTTAGTTAATTTTTAATTCATTCTAAGCACAATATATCTTAAGTGATACATAATTTTCCTAAAATATATTTACATATTTAAGACAACACCCTTCCTATATGCAAATAAATAATTAATTAAAAATTTATATATTTTAAAAATATTACAGTTGAATTCATAAATGCAATCCAATTTATCTAAATGATAACAAAATCAATCGTAAAAACAAGAAACCGACTAGATATAATATAACATATATAAAACTATAATATTTTTAATATAAATGCATACAAATTATAAATTAATTTATAAGTAAAACTAAATATTAATAAATTATTATCATATATTTACACTAAAAATATTTATACCCATGCATTAGCACGGGAAAATCACCTACTATATATATTAAAGTATATGTGTTTTGTATATATTATTTACTCTATCCGTTTCACTTTAGTTGTCATTCTAGGTTTTTGCACACAGATTAAGAAAACATTTAATTTTACATATTTTCAAGATAAAAACACAATTGCCTATACACCTAACCACTTTTCAACCAATAGAAAAATAGAATATTATATAAAACTAATAAATTTTGCCATAAACTTTTGCTAGTTATTATTGTTAAATTAAATAAACTTACTTTTATGAAACTATATACTGAAATAAAATTTTAATGTTTAGAACCATAAATAAATTTTGCATATAAAAACATACAATTAACTGGAATGAAGCAAAAATCGATTATTTATCTATTTTAATGAATCACTTGTGTTTAGGCACTTGGGTACCGTTAGGAACTAATAGATGCGGTCATTCAGAGAAAATTATATCATTTAAAAATAAAAAAATTTGCTTAATATTCGTTCTGAGTATCTTCCTAAATAATTATTATACTCCCTCTATTTCATTATAAGTGTCACTTCAGATCTGTACACACGGATTAAGGAAACAATTAATTTTACATATTTTCTATATAAAAACACAATTACCTATACACCTAACCACATTTTAACCAATAGAAAAACAAATTACATAATAAAATTAATAAAGTTTGCATTGAAAACCGAAAACGACACTTGTAACGAAAATTTTTTCTACAACGACACTTAATATGAAACGGGAGGAAGTATTTACCAAAACATGAGTTTCTTCTTTGGGAAAAAAAAAGATAGGGTCTATTTAGAACCATTTATTGATACTTTTTCTTGGATCTGGCCAGAGGAGGATCCAGAAACCTCCTTATTAATTGAGGGAACAATTCAAAAAAATCCAGAAATATGTAGAGTGACTTTTTTTTGTTCACTAAAACTAAGAACATTAGGTCAAATTTACTTAAGTTACATAAGAAAAACCAGAAAACAGTAGGGGGCATGTTGTCCCATACTGCAAAGCCTACGTCCGCCCTTCATTTGGTAGTACATTTGAATGGTAAGAAACAAATGTTTAAAGAAAATGATGTTTTTTTTTCGACACCCTCCAGCCCCTTGTGGGACCCCAAATCTTGATATGCCAAATTGATTCCTTATAGGTAAATCATGGTACGGTCAGTGAATTAGAATATACCTATTGGGATTAGATGGAAGTAGAACACTTCGGACTACACAAGGCTCTCTCACGTGCTAAGATGAAAGGACATTTATGGACGAAGTCTTGTTTACGAGACTTGAAAATTAATATGATACATGTAGAAACATAGTGCTAAGATTTGGTAAACTAACCTAGTTGATTGACCGTCATTTGTTACCGAGCTAATCCTTTTTCGTCTACGAGATGGTTTTGTCAGGTTTTAAAGTTTCTCATATCTCTAGATCCAGAAACACGCCTGTGAACTCTCTTGCCAAGAAGAGAAGAAGTGGAGATGTTTTCTTTTTCAGTATAAATTAAACCTGATTGAAGCAAACAGAGTGACGATTTAATCTTACAAAACGGATGCTGAAAAAAAAATTCATAATGTTTTAAAATTAATTATAGAAGTTTATAAATTCAACATTATCCCCTAAATATTAAACTATTAATAATAATCAATAAATAATAAAAGGTATTTTGATTGAATATATATTTATAAAGTGGTGGCCAATTCATTAAATAGGACCGCGAAAATCCTGATTGAAAATCACGAAATAGAAATCGTATAACGATAACATGAGATGGAAAAAACGTTTAAGAAATCGTATAACGATAACATGAGATGGAAAAAACGTTTAAGAAATCGTTAAGGAAATAGACGAATTCGTGGAGTCGAGATTTGATATCTTTCCTTAACTCAATAAATCGGCCGTAATGTGAGACGGTTTAGATGCGATTTTTGAATCCCATAATACAACCACGATGACACTGTTTCGCTGCACCCGAAAACAGAATCTACGAACTAACTACTACACTATACTCTCGAGACTTACTTTAAGAGAAAACTCGGGTTTTTACTGGAACTGTTTGTTGTTTGCTTTTCAGTCTGAGAAAAAATGAAGTGGTTGGGCGTCTATTTATATAGAAGTGTTCGCCTAGAATAATAATATTCGTGGAATTATTCCGGTATATTCCTGGAATTATTCCGGCATATTCCTGGAATTATTCCAGCATATTCCTGGAATTATTCCGGTATATTCCTGAAATTATTCCGGCATATTCCTGGAATTATTCCGGCATATTCCTGGATTTATTCTTTTTACTCTTGCAATTCAAATGAAAGGCTTTTTATTTAGAGTCCAAAAGACATTTGATCCATATTTCTCTTCACATTACAACACAAATTTACACAGCCCAATGGCTTATAAATTTGGGTTCCAACAGGTTTCACATCAATCTGTGTTTTTTGAATTGTGAATCACTCTTCGCTTTGGGATCGATCTTAGGATTTTTGAATGGTTTAGGTTTGTTCGTAATTCTCATAATTTCAACTTTTCTTGTGATCTTTTCTAAAAAGAATGGATCTGCCATGCTACATATGCCGAAGCTTTATGCCGCTTAATTATTGTTGGCATCATCATAGGGTGAGGTCATGCGGTGGCGCTACCCACCTCTCTGCTTTTCTCAGCGGAGGCCATATGCAGTCTCCAAGGTGTGAATGATGTTTACGGTTCCCTGACCTAATTCACTGCTACAGAGA